AAGCAGCACTGTTTTTTGCACAGCCCCACAAGTCAAGAGCACCTACCCCAAGCAGCCTAGCGTCAGCTCAGCAGTGACAGCACTTGCCTGGTATTAGTGGGACGGGCCCAGCCCTTGCTCTCCTGTTGCAGGTCAAGAAAATAGAAGCTCACCGACTAGCACCAAGCACCTGCTCTGTGCTGGAGTCCCACCTCCCATCCAAGCTGCACAGCCCACAGCTGAGACTGCCCTCTGCAAAGTCTAGCCCTGTCTCCCACTAGCCAAGACAGCCAACACTGCGAGCACAGCAGAGGTTCCCAAGGGACTAATGCAGCTGGGGAAGGAGATGGGAGCCATCTGTTTTACATGGAGCCAGGGAGTCCCAGAAGCAGCAGCATAGGGAAGGCTTGCCAGGCTGGCACTGACAAGGCACCAGGCACTTACCAAGACCTAAGCCCTGGAGCTCAGGCAGGGAAGCCGAGGCACACAGCTGGTAGAAGATGTGGTAGTTCCTCTCCACTTTTGCCTGTGTGGAGCAGCAAAAAGTTCATTGCTCTGGTCCCCTCTCACCCCCCTGCTGCTCCCAACAGCTATTGGAAGGTGCCGGCCACATCAGGCACTGCTAATCCTGCTAGAGGGATGGGCACCATTCTGCCCCATGCTTAGGGCCTGGGTCTGTCAGGTGCTGCCTGCTTTGGGTGAGAGTCCAGGGTCTGAGTCTCTCCTAGAGGCATAAAAGGCCCCTGGTTTGAGGGGACAGCAGAGTCTCCCAAATGCCCTTCCTCCAAGGCTGAGAAAAGCGGGAAGGCTCCAAGTAGTAGCAAGAAACTGAGCCTGGCCATGGCTGGACTGTGGGGCCTCAACCCCTGCCCCCTCCCCACAGTACTGTAGCTTCTCACATGGTTGTGAGATTGGGGCAAGTTGCTTTACAAGGAGTCACTGGGACAAGCTGGTCAAAGCCAGAGTACAACTATGTACAGCACAAAGCGTCCAAACTGGGTGACTTCAGGTTCTCTTTCCAAGCTGCTTCCCCTTTCATCCTGTCAAATCAGTGCCAGCACGGGGCCCTCTCATTTTTAGCCTCCATCTCCTTGAACTGCTCTCTCTTCTCAGTCAAAGCCGAGTTAGAGCAGCAGACAGAAGACACCATCTTCCGAGGGGAAAAAAAGAGGGAAAAAACAGTGGTTGTCTGGAAGAGCCAGATAAAACCAAGAGGCGCAGTCAGAAACCTTAGTCCTGCTGCCTCACCCTGTGTCTGCCCCAAGCCTTGGCATCATTGCAACAGGGGACAGCAAGTGCCCTGGGCGGGCTGGGGCGGGGGGGGGACTTGTAGTCACAGCAGGCTACAGACGCCTCCCAGCCACTTGTCACGTAGCCTCCATTGCACACCCCTACCCCAAGCCTGCAGACCAACCTGGAAGGTGACACGGGATTTCTCTAGGAGGTAGGTTTTCATGGTGGCCCCGAGGATGCGGTACTCATGGTTGAAGCAGATTTCCACATACTTCCCAAAGCGGCTGCTGTTGTCATTCCTGGCGGTCTTGGCATTTCCAAAAGCCTGGTCAGAAACAAAGTACCCAGCTCCTACCTGCAGTCTCAAGTCAGCATCAACATGCCTGCTTCCCAGGTGGGGAGGCAGACACAGGGGTGGAAAGCAGTGACCTGTCAGGGGTCATCTAGCAAGCCAGCAGCAGGCCTCCAGGTCCTAATCCCAATCCAGGGCCCCTACCACTAGGTTGCACTGCCAGCACTGGCCTGCCTGCATTTCCCTGCCTAGTCACAGCATCAGCAGTGAGTTCCTGGTACAGAGATGTCCCAGAGAGGGGCAGCTTGTGCACTGCAGCTCCATCACAGCCAGGTTCACTGTGGGAAGAGCTGCTTGCACAGATGCAGACCACAGACAGCCTAGGGAACCTTCTACAGTGGGACTGATCCCTCTTGCCAGACACCCCATGTGGTCTCCAAGGCTGCATGGTAGGAGAGGTCAGTGCAGCACCCTCTTCCCCCCACAGGAAGCCAGATGGTGCGAGCAAAGACTCAGGCAGGGGCACAAGCTGCAAGTGAACAGCATCAGCAATTTGCTTTACTTTTTATCCCCCAGAGGCATTAGGTATTGGCTGCAGCCAAGGCTGGGGATCCATGACAGAGCTGCACCAGTGCTCCAGCTGAGACTTAAGCCTCGAGGTTCCTGGATAGAGGGTCTTTCCCCTCTGCTCAAGGTCAGACCAACTGCCATGTTTGGGGCCAGGAAGCAATTTTACTCTGTGGTCAGTTTGACAGCCTGGGGGGATTTTGCCTTCCTCTGTAAGAAGGGGTGGTGGTACTGCCTGGGACCTGTTGAGTGCACAAACAACCTTTAAAAAGGAGGACATTAGCTGCCATGGTCCCCCTGCTTTACCTGTGGCAGGTTAGGGTGTTGCGCCAGGGTAGTTTTCCCAAGAAGTTAGACAACAGATCTGTCTAAGATGGTTTGGACAGGGATGATCCTACTTCAAACAGGGAGGAGCTAGGTGACCTCCAGCAGTCCCTTCCCACCCTCTTTCTCCATGGCTATGATCACCACCCACCACTGGAGGGGCAGCAGATGGCACTTGAAGAAGGCAGCATTAGAAGCAAGTTGCCCCATTGGCCAAGACTGGCAGGTCTGCTCAGCTCTTCAAGGGCACCGACTGCCTGGAGTTCTCCATTTGCTCTTATTCCGCCCCTCCCACAGAGACCTGCTCATTCCTGCAGGTTGCACAGGACACCCAATACCCTTAGCAGAGGATTGAGCCCCTTTGGGCCACACTTGCCTCCCTGGCAAGAAGTCTAGCTGTGCTGCTGCTGGATTTCTGCTTCTCCCTGGGATTCAAGGCCTCAGCAGCCTGTGGGGGCAGCCCCTTCCAGCCGGCCACATGCAATGCTGGGAGACAGGGGCTGGATAGGAGGATTTATTACTCTTCAACTTACTGCCCTGCTCCTTGGAACCAGGCCTTGGATCTTAATACCACAGCTCCCACAGAGCAAAGAGCACGAGGGGAGGGGACCAAGCCAGACTGGTGCCTCCAGCTTCTCTTGAAGACAAAAATAATCCTTAGCTGCACAGCACCAGGGGAGGAGGGGAACACAGTGCTGCATCACTGGACTGGCATTTCCTCCCTCCCCACACCGAGTGCTGACAGACCAGCAGCAGCAGGGCACAAGTTCGGGGAAAATGCACAATCAGCAGAACTGAGCCGTGGCCCGGCAGGGGACAGGAAGCAGCAAGGCCAGGCACAGCTGCCGTGCTGCCGGGAAGAGAGCTCGTGCCCAGACTGTGCGGAGATGAACTCTCCCATCCCATGAGAAGAGGCCATGCTAAGGACAGCTGAACACTACATTTAAAATTGGCAACAGGGAGGAGAGTCTCAGGCCAGGTCAGACCAAGGGACCCTGCACCCTCTGAGCTTGTGGCCTCTGCTGCTCTGAAGGACAGTGCACGGTCACTCCAGTGACCTCTGCAAGACACAGCTCAAAGGGACGCAGCCAGGGAAGATCACAGGGAGGGGGCAAAGTAGCCTGGCTGCCTGCCTTAAGCCTGGCTCTTGTTTTAGAGAAGAGCACTCCTGCCCCCAGCCCTCCTTTCCAGCAGCACCTTGCTGGAGGACTATGAGACTCCAGCTTCTCCCCAATGGCCGGCTCATGGGGTGCAGCCCCAGAGCTCCTGCACCTCCCTCCCTGGGCAGCGATTCATGGGACCTTCCTCCTTCCAGGCTCCTTGGAGGAAAAGCCCTACCTCCATGATGGGGCTCGAGGCCAGCACCTTCTCCTCCACGCTGGAGTTGCTCAAGGATCCACCGACTATGGCAAAGTACCTCATGGCGTACTTGGCAGTGGCCGTCTTCCCTGCACCCGATTCACCGCTTATGATCAGCGACTGGTTTTTGTCCTCCCTGCAAAAAGCAGAGGTGAGGCAAGAAGGACTTGGAGCAGGTCTTGCCGTCACTGGACAGCACAAGCCCTGCTCAGAGATCCTGACCCAAGATGCTGCCCCTGATCCTGGAGTTCCCTAGACAGCTCCAATGACCAGGGCCTGGGCACATGTGCCAGGAGACTAGTCCCATGGAACTAATTAGGCCCTCCCTTTTCAGGTCAGGGTTAGAGCAAAGGGCAGTGCAGAGCAGGGCACAGGTAGAGACCTAGGGTAGAGCCAGAACTAGGCCACACAACCCTGCTTTGTACTAGAGGGGCTAAAGCAGCTTGCAAGCACTGCAGTATTGCGAGGAGCAACAGGCTCCTGGTTCCCCCATGAGGGTCAACGCTAGACCCATGCAAGGCAGGCAGTCACAATGTGAACAGACTTGCCTGCCTTCCTCCCCACCATAAGCCCCCAGCCCCTTCCAAATGCCTTGCCAGACTGCTTTGTGGCTTGGCACACTGGGGAAAGCAGGTACAAGATTGAGGGTGCTGCCCTCTGGGAAGACTCTTTTTAGGCAACCCCATGCATGTTTTTGCCTCACTGGAGCCAGACAAGCAGGTTGGTCATCAACACCCTCTACTCAGCAGGCCCATGAAGGAACCTGGCCTCAGCCCTGATCCTCATCCCCTACCTGGGAAGGGCTGCTGACAAGAGGCACAATGAGACATCTTTAATAAGGCTGCTGCTCTGTCCTGGGGAAACAGCCTCCCCCCAGCCCGAACTGCCTCCACACTAGCAGAAGGGGAACTGGGGAAGGCAGATTCCAGCACAGCCCGAGACAACAGCATGTGCCATCCCCACCAGGGTACATGCCTCTGATCGGATGCTGGGGAGGGGAGCCTCAGTGTGTGCAGGGTAGCCATTAGACATCTACCTTTCCCCAGAGCAGCCCAGGCAGCTGTTAGGTGCAACTGCACTGGGCCTCTCCCTGCAGTTTCAGGAGCTGAACTGCCAGGGGCAGTGCAACCAAGCCTAATTGTGCCTTGCTGAAGACTTTTACCAGCAGGTGGTTTGGCATCAGCTCCCTGGAGCTGATGCCAACACCAAGTCCTCAGTGGGCAGGGCTACAAGCATCTCTTCCGTTTACCCTGCCCCCCCTCACTTTGCCAGAGAGCAAACACTCCCAGAGCCCTGCGTGTACTGCAAATGCAGACAGATGGGTGCCCTCAGCACCGATTTTAGCAGGGCCAAGGCTCTCACCCTTGTTTCAGAGATTGGCCGTACAAATCAATCTTCAAAAAGTGTCTTGACACCCATCTTGCTAGGGTCATCTGATCCCAGCAGTTTTTCCTGCCCAAGTGCAGGGGGGCTGGACCCAGTGATCTGCAAGTTTCCTTTCCAGCCCCCAACAACTAACAGCTATGAAAGTCAGGCAGTGCCCAAGGCCAAGGACCAGCTCCAGTGAAGTCAACTGCAACCCTTGTCAGTACACACTTGGAGCCAGAGCCAGCAGGAGCTTGCTGGAAGGCCTAAGCAACATCCCAAGTTTCACCTCCACAAGAAAGGGACAAGCAGTGCATGTACATGTGTGAAGCAGGTTTACATCTGAATTTTGCAGCTGCCCAATGTCTTGTCCTCCAGAATTAAGCCAACAACAAGCCCCTCCTAGAGACTGGCTCAAGTACAGGACAGGGCTCCTGCCATCACATTCTGGAAATAATTTCCAGCTAGTTATTTCTGCCTGCACCCTAGGCACATCCCAAAAGTACTGTTTAGAGCCACTGAGTCTTTCCCCAGCTGAGCCATTTATCCAGACTCTTTCTGCAGCACCCAAGCTGGCATTTTCAGAGGCAGATCTCCAACTCCCACTAGCTTCCTAGTGCCAGTTTCTCCCCAAGGATGCCAGCTCTGTGCCCAAGGCAGCCAAAGTGCCACCAGCTTGGTCTCAGCATCCAATGAAAACACCTACTTTTGCCTGAAGGGCAAGGACTTGCAGCCTGCCCTACATTTCCTATTTGTATTTGCATTAGGTGATTAAAGAAGAGAGAGCAAGAAGGGTCAAATGAGATTCCACCTGTTTTTCTTGACTGTCATCTGTATTTGATCTATTTTTTGTATCACCATAAAAAAAATTAAAATGAATATAGTATAGAAGTTAGTAGATGTGCAATCTTAACCTTTGCTTTTAGAAAGACAGAAATATAAATGAGTTTATTGTCCACATTACTGAATTATTATTATGGGGTTCCAAGATGGCAACCAGCAAGTGGGACACCTGGCAAGGGGCGGGCTACCCTTGCAGCCCTCAACAGCTCACCAAAAAAAAAAAAAAAAAAAAAAAAA